GGGGACCCCTCTCAGACCCCTCGCTGTCACCTGATCCCTCCGATCAGGGGACAGTCGGGTCGCCAACGACCCATGACCGGTGAGTCAGTTCCCCGGGGGCAGAGGTGAGGGTGAGGGAGGGACAGACATGATGTCACGGAGTAGTGACTTCAGCTATAGATATGGCCCGGAGAGCCTTTCCTGGTCGACCTAATGGGCCCCGTGACTGAAGCGACTGAGACGGTAGTCTACGTCACTCGCTTGACGTCAATAGCATGGCTTCAGTTTGTCAAACTAGTTGATAGTAAAGCTACATGGGTCGATTCATCAAAATTCAGACGGCTCGTTAACCATCGCCGGTGCTGCCGGCCATTTTGTGTCCATCGATGCCACAGAAAGGAAAAGGATCCCTAGAGTTTTGACTCCTAATTGAGGTGGGGCTTTACAAAGACGATCGAAATCATAAGAGTGCGGGTAACAAGTAGCTAACTCGCTTCGCCGATAGCATAAGAGGCTATGACATTGTAAAACACCTGAGCAATATTTTGCTCTCTTAAAACGGTTGCGAGTATCGATTCTGTGTAGTCAAAAGCGGTGTTTTCGTCGGAGCCACCTCAGTGAAACGCACTTTATCGACAGAGCTTAAACTTCAAACAATTGGCGGTGAGTGTCGCACACAAACGGTCTGCTTTGTTTGTTCCCGAGGCGACGATTTTGTTTGCCGCCCAGCACGTCTGAAGCTCCCACGAGAGCGTGCCGTTGAAAGAATTGCAGGAAGGCATCTGGAACAGTTTCCTGCTCTTTCTCATATAATGCAGTACACAGGAAAGGATTATCAGGAGAGGAGAGGAGAGAGAGAGAGAGAGAGAGAGAGAGAGAGAGAGAGAGAGAGAGAGGGAGAAAGAGAGGAAGAGAGAAAGAGAGAAAGAGAAAGAGAAAGAAAAAGAGAAAGAGAGAAAAAGAAAGAAAGAAAGAAAGAAAGAAAGAAAGAAAGAAAGAAAGAAAGAAAGAAAGAAAGAAAGAAAGAAAGAAAGAAAGAAAGAAAGAAAGAAAGAAAGAAAGAAAGAAAGAAAGAAAGAAAGAAAGAAAGAAAGAAAGAAAGAAAGAAAGGAGTTTGGTGGATTATCAACGGTGGCTAGACGGGCTCAATGATTTCATGCCGCAGTATCACTGCCCACTCACCGCGGCGCTTTATTCAACTGCCTGTCGATAGCCTGCGGTCGCGGTCCCATGACTCTCACCGAAACTTCCCACGGCTCCAGACCGCTCCCGCGGGCAGCGGTTGGTCCATGAGTTATCCACTAGACTAAAAGACACCACTGTCGGGGTAGGTCAAGGCTGACTGTCACAGCCACAAAACTGACTGCGGCAACATCAGGGAGCTCCGCAACATTTCAACATGAATGGTGGCTCGGAGTAGTGGTTCGGCACTGGTGCTGGATCACCATGGGTTTACTGCACTACAGTTACTGTGGTGTTAGTGCCCTCCATGTATAGAAATATGCTTACCTTCCATAACATATTAGTAATCAGATTCAATCAATCACTTGACATCAAAGAATAAAGAGTGATGGTTAGCTTGATCTGGGACTCTTTGCAGACCTGTTTCAAATGAAATACCTTTATCCAGCTCCCTTCATTTACTACCGTGATTAAGCCGATTCAAGGCTCGGCCGTGCCCCCTCCCCAAGATCTGATGACATCACGCTCATACCCCTGTAAGTACAGCACGCGGCTGACTGGCCGATAAGATAGGGTTCGTTCTACCCTCCCCTCCCCCGTCACTGCCAGAAGATTGTGACAATGGACCGCAAACCGCAATGGGGAGGGGGTGTACTCAGTTTTCTGTTCGTATGCTTTGCACCGGCCTATAGGTCAATGATATGGTCACGGGAAGGGAAGAGAGAGAGAGAGAGAGAGAGAGAGAGAGAGAGAGAGAGAGAGAGAGAGAGAGAGAGAGAGAGAGAGAGAGAGAGACAGACAGACAGACAGACAGACAGAGACAGAGAGACAGAGAGACAGAGAGACAGAGAGACAGATACAGAGACAGAGACAGAGACAGAGACAGACAGACACAGACAGACAGACAGACAGACAGACAGACAGACAGAATGGGAGTTTGGCTGCCTGTGTGGATAACCGTCACGTGAGGCAGTGATATCAAATGAATCGTCAGCTGATGCAAGGACATCATGTTCAAGGGTGCTTCATGCAAGCAAGGATTGGCCCGATATAAAGGGTTAGAGTTCACTTAGCTACTTTTGGCTCTCAAGGCACTTATAACTACTATGCCTGTCCAGTGTCCACTCAATGTAAAACACACTTCATCAGTTGTCAAGATATTGCAATGAATAGGGACAAGCTTGTTCTGCACTGCTTGAAATAACCACAAGTGAAACAAAATATCAAAACGAAAATGTGTTTCGCTCTTTCGAATGTCAATCTGACTCGAGAAATATCCACTCAACTCTACGCCTCACCAATTAGTGGAGGGGTGTGTCCACTTTCGCCAAGACTGTCAAGTCACGACCTTTCTCAGAAGACAACTGTGGTGCGGGCTTCCACACAATACGTAGAGACACGCGCTGATCCTATTTCAGAGATCGTTGTTCGGTGAAAGTCACCCTCGCATGGCTCCGGTGTCTCCACTGTGGCTCCCAGCCTGGTCAAACTAGCAGCGATCTACGCTATCCGTCAGTACTGCCTAATTATACTGCCGCCGGTATATAGTTTGACGAACAATAGCAATACTTTTATGATAACTTTCCTACTACCAACGATGCAATATTTATTTTTCCGGTATCAGGTAGGGTAAAAACAGGTTTGAGGAAATCGAGCTTCCTTGGAATGCATAGGCAAATGGAGATGCTACTTATGATAGAAATATGATTTACGTTACCTAAAAACTGAAAAAGTATGCAGTCACTGCAGTCAACGCTGATTACTGAATAGCTCGTTCCGCTGCAGACAAGGCGACTGGATGACTGCAACGCACGACAGTCGGCTACCACTAATACTAAATAGCTCCCTGTTGAAACCGAGGCTGCAACTCACAGACCTAAGGCCTCCCAGTCAGACGGATGGATCAAGGCTCCAGGTAGATTGGGCTAAATCAGACGAAGACTTGAACTGGACCGGGTCAGACCAGACGCAAACTCGTGCTGGGCTGGGCAAGACCGGACGGAGTCCACCCCGGAAACGGCTCTGTCCTAACTTCCCTGTGTTGCCAGTCACCGTGACGGACCGCGTGCGTCTCCGCCCCGTACCGTCACCCTCCCTCGGCGGCGGACGGCGGCATCCGCCCTCCCACCTGTCCGGAACACGAGGGCTCCTCCACCGGCACAGCTCGTGGCTCGGCTGGGTCCACCTGTACACCGTGTCCGGCCGCCCCGGAAATCACCACCTACCGGCGTCGTGACGCGCCGTGACGTGTCGCGGCGGCAGTCACGACAGCGTGACGCGTCACACGACCCGGCTCAGCAGGTGAATGGCGCGTCACTTTGGCGTCACGCCGGGCAGGAGAAACCCCGAGACACCTTCACAGAGGGACGGAGGGGCGTGGTCGGTGGGCGGTGCCGGCGTGGATGGGAAAATACAGCACCGTGACGGCGGCTCGGGGTCGAGGCCAGCGCGGCGGTGAGCGGCGGCCGGTGGTGCTTTGCTGGTGACTCCTGTTCTGCTCCTGGCTTCTCTGCAGCCCTAACAATTCTCAGCCCTGACCCAGTCCTCATACACACCACTCAGCTCAGCCACGTGTCGAACACTTACTCGTCCCCTGTCCACTGACTTTGTTTAAATCCTTCCTCCAAGGCCAGACAGGACTATTGCTCGCAAATAGTCTCGCTTTCGATCCATCGCCGTTCCGAATTCAGTCCCTGTTCAGATTCGGAATTCGGTCACCCCCCTCCTCTCACTCAGTGTTCAGTTTACACCCTCCTCAGTTCCATGGTCCCCCGATCCTGCCCAGCCCGTGCCACATGCCCTGCCAGCCACGTGTCTGGCCCCGCCGCCAGGCCCATGCACCGTGATTTGTCCGACGCCCTTTGCAGACCCGGCACGATCCGCTGACGTGCGGCCATTAGGAGGGCGCCAGGGGCTCGGAGTCGGCACCATGCGGCGGTCGGGTCGGCACATCCTGAACGGGGCGTGCTGCTAGCGTCACGCGCTAGTGGCGCCATCTCTATCAGCTGACAATGACTGATCACGACTTGTCTGATAGTTCCTGATAGTGCTCCACCCTGTGGGCCGATGTGAGATCCTTAAAATTGGCGCTCGAAAAGTGTACCGTCATCACAAGCAAACAGCTAGCGCAAATTCAGAGCTTTATTTCATTGTCTGTTCCGACTGTCGTCTGGCCTATCTCTAGGGTGTGTATCGGTGACACTTATCTAAATATTGACTATGAAATACTTCACTGGCCTGACGTCTGTGTCGGTCGGTACACTGAAAACAATTTAACCCAAGGCCCGCGAGTAAACCGGTGTTTTGCGGGTACCCCTATCCGCAACCATTTTTAACCACCGTCCCAGGAGTACAGTAAGGTCCCATTGCAGGGTAGTCATCCCTGTCCTCAGCGGACTTGTTCGCTGACAGCGGTTATATCCGCTCAGAGCAAGTACGACTACACCGCAATGGGACCTAGCACTACTCCTGGGAGGGTGGTTAAAAATGGTTGCGGATAGGGGTACCCGTAAAACACCGGTTTACTCGCCAGCCTTGGGTTAAATTGTTTTCAGTGTATGAACATTGCTCCAGGGCAGGTCTGTGGGCTCGTAAATCACGCGCCGTGGTCGGGCCGGCGGCGCGGCCCTCGGCGGCCGGTGCGGAGAGGTCCGAGCGGCGCCGCCGGTACGTCCATTAACCCTGGCCGCGGGAGTTTCTCGGTGGCAGTGGCGGCCGCCCACCGGCCGACCTTGGCCGGCCGTACGGCATGCCGCCCTCCACAGCCGTGCATGCGTACCGCTGCCGTCAGCGCCCCCTGGGACCGCCTGCATGGCGGCGTCCAGGCACGGGTAACGGGCCGGGCCGGGCCGGGCCGGCGGCACGGCCTGCACGCCCGGCCGGCCCCAGTCGAGTCCCGACACCGGCGCGGCGCTCACCGGCCGGCCGGCGGGTCTGTGAACGCCGGACGAGAGCCGCCGCAGTGAGAGGAGACGGCCGGCGAGCCGCTCCAGTGCCCCGCTGGTGCCGCGTCAGTGGCCCGCGTTCGGCGCCGTCGAGCGCGCTCAGTGTGATAGTCAGTGTCGGCCACGGAGCGCCGGGCCAGCCGGGCAGAGAGTGACCCCGAGCGGCGCCGAGCTGCTATCTGCCGCCGTGTCGAGTATCTTTATCGGCGGGTCGGCCCATCGCTGCGGGCCGCCGGGCGCCGCGCGCCACTCCGCCGCCGTCGAGCCGCCGGCCAGCGTGTGACCTGTGACCCGCCGCGCCGCCGCTCGCCGCCGCTCGCCGCCGCTCGTCAGCCAGCTGTCGCCGCCACCTGCTGCAGCCATGGCCTCCACCGACCCGGCATTCCGCACCATCCCGAAACGCTCCACGTGCTTCCTGATATGGCGTGTGGAAAAGATGGCTCTGGTGCCGCTGCCTCGCGACCAGTACGGCAAGTTTTACCGCGGCGACTCCTACGTCATCCTCAACGTGTCCGAGGGTCGCAAGCCGGGCGGTGTCGGCACCAAGGTGCACGAGACCTCCGGGCCGACCACGTCCAGCATTCACTTCTGGCTGGGCTCTCAGACCTCGCAGGATGAGGCGGGCGTGGCCGCCTACAAGACGGTGGAGCTGGACGACCTTCTGGGCGGCACGCCGGTCCAGTACCGTGAGGTGGAAGGTCACGAGAGCCAGCGGTTCCGCTCCTACTTTCCCTCTGGCATCCGTCACCTGGACGGAGGCGTGGCCACTGGTTTTACGCACGTCACGGACGAGTTCACGCCGACCCTGTTCCTGGTGAAGGGTCGCCGCCACCCGGTCATCCGACAGCTGCCCTCAGTCGAGTGGAAACACTTCAACGACGGCGATGTGTTCGTGTTGGACGCACGCGAGGCCGTCTACGTGTGGACCGGAAAGGAGGCTAACCACATGGAGAGGATCCAGGCTGCCAAGACGGCCCAGTCAATTAAGGACGACCACGGCGGAGCCGACATCATCGTCGTGGAAAGCGGCAAAGAGGCCGAAATGTCGAAGAACGAGAAGGCGCTCTTCAACAAGCTGTTGCCGCTGTCGGACCGCTCGGTGCGCCCCGCCTCCGCTGCGCCGTCGGACGACAAGCAGGAGAGGCGTGTGGCGGAGGACATCCGTCTCTACCGCTGCAGCGACGAGGACGGCGCCCTCAAGGTCACGGAGGTCAAGGGCGGCCCGCTGCTACAGTCTGACCTGGACAAGAATGACACGTTCATCATCGACAACGGCGAACAGGGCATCTGGGTGTGGGTGGGACGACGCGCCACCCACAAGGAGCGTGCAGAGGCCATGCGCAACGCTCAGGGATTCATCAAGAAGAAGAACTACAGCCAAGCGACACCGGTGACGCGTGTCATTGACGGCGGCGAGCCCACCGACTTCAAGAGCCTGTTCCAGTCGTGGCGTGATAAGGATGCCACCACCGGGCTGGGTAAGAAGGCCACTATTGGACAGGTGGCCAAGACCATCCAGACCAGCTTTGACGCCTCCACGCTGCACGAGCACCCGGACCTGGCGGCGCACACGCAGATGGTGGACGACGGCACCGGCAAGAAGGAGATCTGGCGCGTGGAGGACTTTGACCTGAAGCCGGTGCCCACCGACAAGTATGGCAAGTTCTTCTCAGGAGACTGCTATGTGATCTTGTACACCTACCATGCTCGCGGCCGAGAGGAGCAGATCATCTACTACTGGCTGGGTTCGCACTCGGCGCAGGACGAACAGGGCACCGCAGCTCTGAAGACCGTGGAGCTGGACGACAGCCTCGGCGGCCGGCCGGTCCAGGTGCGCGTCGTCCAGGGCAAGGAGCCGCCGCACTTCCTGGCGATGTTCGGCGGTCGGATGGTGGTCTACTCGGGTGGCGTCTCGTCCGCCTTTGAAAGCGCCGAAGGTGTCAACGGCGGCCACAACACCACTGTGGGCGACACCTACCTGCTGCAGGTGCGTGGCACCACCAACTACAACACGCACGCCGTCCAGGTGGACTGCCGCGCCGGCTCGCTCAACTCCAACGACTGCTTCGTACTGCGCCACGGCGGCGAGGTGTTCGTCTGGTGCGGCAAGGGCGCCACCGGCGACGAGCGCGAGATGGCCAAGACCATCGCTGCTGAGATGCACAGCGAGCCGCAGATCATCTACGAGGGCCAGGAGCGCGACGACTTCTGGGCCAAGCTGGGCGGCCTGGAGCCGTACGCGAGCAGCCCGCGCCTGGCCGAGGCCGACCAGATGCAGCCGGCACGTCTCTTCCAGTGCTCCAACGCCTCCGGGCGGTTCCTGGTCGAGGAGATTCCCGACTTCATCCAGGATGACCTGGTGCCCTCGGACGTGATGCTGCTGGATGCCTGGAACACCATCTTCATCTGGATCGGCTCCGGCTCGAACAAGACAGAGCGGGAGCGTGCCGAGAAGACGGCGATCGAGTACCTGCGCACGGACCCGGCAGGACGCGGCGTCGGCACTCCCATCGTGCGGGTCAAGCAAGGCTGTGAGCCACCCACCTTCACTGGCTTCTTCGGCGTCTGGGACGACGGTCTGTGGGAGTCGCAGCCCGACTGGGAGGCGGTGCGCCGCGACGTGTCTGCCGGCAACAAGGGCATCAGCGAGGTGACGGTGGCCGCCGCCAAGGCCGTTGAGCTGCCCGTCTACGAGCTGGAGACGCTGCGGCAGCACGACCCAGAGCTGCTGCCCGAGGACGTCGACCCGTCCATCAAGGAGCGCTACCTAGCGCCCGAGGTGTTCGAGGAGCTCTTCGGCATGAGCCGCGACGCGTTCAGCGCTCTACCCACGTGGAAGCAGCAGCAGCTGAAGAAGAAGGTGGACTTATTCTAGGTGTTGATTCCGGTGCGTCGTGTTCAGCCAGTGAGAAAGTTGTCACACCTGCGGGCTGAGATAATGTGTTCGTGTGTGCGGTCTTGTTAGTGGTGGAGATATGAACGAAAATGGGCGATAGCTGATCGATCACTGATAGCTGCCTATTTATCCAGTGAGGGCTGGCCGGGAAAACCAGATCCGATGCCGGCACGGGGTGCTTGTTGTTGGTATGCCACTTGGCGAGCAGATGTCTCGATCAGAGTCCTATTCCGTGTTAAAGTTTATTGACATGTTATCTACACCAACGGGTGATGAGTGAAGAAAGCTGTTGAGTCCCCAATGCCTGCAGAGCTGTTGCCATGTATAAGCCAGATATGTCAGGAGCATAAGATACGATTACCGAAATAATATATATTGAGGTTTACAGTAAAAAGCGGCTCTCAATGCTGCTCATGTGCCCGACATTGAACTATGTTTGCTTTCTGTGTACGTCACGATATATATGATCCAGATGATAGTGAGGTTTGTTTGACAGCACGATATTGCTGCCAGATTTGGCTGGTTACAGTTGACCGATTAAATGCTTTGCAGTATCTTCCTCCTTCTGCACCTTCATATCTACATCCTCCGTGCATAAATCTGATAATCAGCTCGGAATTCGGATGTTCCATCTATAGGATCACTGCAGGCAGCTCACTGAAATCAGTTCTTCGAACAAACAGCGCCATTTCGTCTGCGTCTCAGGTACCGGGGGAATCGGAACCAGAACGGCGAACAATGCAGCGTCCCTCGTATTTCATACCCGGTCCCGGGAGTCGCCAGAGCTCGGCTGGGGAAAGCAGACCACGCCATAAACAAGCGCGTAAATCTCTCTCTTTCCGCCCAGCTTCCTCAGTCCAGTCGCGCTGCTATTGTGAATTTTTCCCAGGAATCGTTTTACCCATCTTCCGAGTGAGCTGCGCCATTTCGAGATCTGTGGTGCGCGACCGATGGAGACGGAGTGCGGCGCGAGCCTTGCTGATCGCCCGAGCTCCGAGTGTGTGACGAGTCACGTGCCGCTGGGTCACGCTACGGCGCGTCACAGCGCGTCACGGCGGGCGAGTCACACCGGCAGTGGCCGCCGTGACGGCGAGCCACACGCCGTGACGCGTCCATCACGGTGTGACGGTCGACGTTACCGCGCGTCCTCCCGCTCCTCAGGTTCAGAGGGATGTGTCCGTCAGGATTTCGACGTCGAGCCCCCGGCTAGCCAACACCTAGATGACGGAGCACGCACTTCACAAAGGATCCGTAATTGGACAAGACGTATCCCTCGCCCATGTAGGGGGGGGGGGTTGGTGCAACCCCCCCCCTGAGGTTTTTCGGAAATAGTGCAAAAACGGCGGCGCGCAGCGCCGCCAAATTTTGGGTACCTTATGGGGCAAACCTTGCGCATCTTTTGATAAAAAAAATTTGACCGGGTCATGTCAGGTCACGGAGTTATGACGTCACAAAGGGAACAGCCTCCGGCCGGATTTTCACAAACTGAGTGCCAACGCCCGAGGTTTCCTGCCGGTGGTACGGACATCGGTTGATGGATCGTGATGAAACTTCCCATGCATGTTGGGGCAAGTATTGGCTATCATATGGTATAAGAAACTTGACCGGGTCAGGTCAGGTCACGGAGCTATGACGTCACAAGAGGAACAGCGTCCGGTACTATTTTTGAAAAGCGCCCGAACCACTATTTTGCTAATTCTTGTCACCTCAATGGGAATATGCAGCAATATTAGCTTCTATAGGGAGCAAATGGACATCCCAAATCCAAAAACACAATCAGATTTCAAAAATTTAAATTTTGATTTTTCGAATTTCTGCCGCCGACTGTGACCTTGCCGACTTCCGGCGCTCCCAACGCGCCATTTTTAGAGCTAGGGAAACGAAATACATACCAAACGATAGAGAATTGATCAAGGAACACGATAGTGAAGGTTTCAAGTCGATATCTCCCACCGTTTTGCCGCAATCGCCGCGGAAAATTTGAAAAAGTCTATTTTTCCGAAAATTTGACCTTTGACCGGTCAAAAGTAGGTCAAATGTTGACCTAGGACCAAAAATATACCACCAATCGCGAGATCTCGTTGAGAGCAATCCGTTGGTCTTTTCCGCTAAGCTCTACGACGCTCCGTTTTCAAACGCCAAGGGGGGGGGGTCGCACCAACCCCCCCCCTGCATGGGCGAAGGTGGCAGATCGCCGTTTACGGGCGAGGGGTATTCCACACCACATAGTTGACGCATGACATATCACCAAGGCCATCTCAGGATTGGAAATGCAAACAGGCACGAGGTCATTGTGTGTGGAGGCGAGTAGTTTTTGTACTTATGATAGCGATCTTCAAAGGTCGCCGTCTGCCACTCTGACGTTCCGATTATGATAGCGCCAGGGACGCCGTTTACAAATCAGTAAAATTCTGCATAAGTACCTTTAATCATTTAATGAATGAACTAAACTTGTTCAAATGTTGTGCTACAGTCAACGCATATGAGCAAGACTGTTGGTAATTGTGCTTTTAATTCACTATAGGTATAACGTGCTTATGGAGGCATACAATGGGACTCAATGGGAAGCTCAAGAGCTGATAGGCATAGACATCCATATTGCATATGTCATGTTGATGCTTCATTGCAGTACACCAATAACCTGTTGTAATGCAGAACAAGAACAAACGGCATGCTGATGCAATATGAATTGTTTACCCCGATAGGTAATTCGAATGCTGAAAGGATGGCGTATCCTTATAGTTATCACTCTGATACCGTAATGCACGATGGATTAATAACATGTTCCTATCGCCTGAAGACCGTATCATGCTGCCGTAAAACCGGTTGTATTGTTTGATTTATAAACGGCACTATCAGAATAGCGATATGTCCCATATCTGACACAGGTGTTATAACACAGGTGTTATATACTTTACAACTCGTTCTGTTTCTTGTTTAGGTGAGTTCTGCGATTCAATTTCAAAATATCTTGTTTTGCGATCTGACATACTATACATATCACATCAAACAACATTCAATTCGAATATGTGTAAACAAAAGATGGTTCAGCTTTTTACTTTTCCAAGGCATTTATTGCAGTCGTCTCCTTTCGTTTCAGCCGTCCAGTTCCGCCATCGATGCGTGCTCGATTCACAAATTGTCCCGTACCCATGAATATTCCCGTTCCAGTCCAGCTTACGAAATCTAGTCCTGCTACTGGAAATTTGACGTTACATCCTCTGTTTCAACCTATAGCATCAGACGGGAGGCCCATGGATTCCCCCGTCACATTTCTATTCGCTCGTAGAACAGACTTCCCTTACGCGGACCTTCCCGGTCCTCAACACAACACTTTGCGGTTTAGACAGCCTGCAAATGGCTGGAACCGGTTCCCCAGCAACGGTCGGGGTGGGGGACGCGCCCGTGGACTTTCTGTAGCCTCCTGCCTAATTGTCAGGCGTTGTACAGGGTTGGGCAGATAAATTGGGACAAATTTCAACTTCCTCTAAAACGACTATTTTTTGAGTGATTAAGATAACTTTTGAACATGAATATAGGCTAATGAATACTTTTCCATGCTATGCAGGTTGCGTTGTAATTTTGAGTCGGCTGGTCACAGAACGTGGGCTTAAGCAAGTCACTATCAACTTAACCCGCGCCCTGATGGGGGGGGGGGCCATTTTGGCCCCCCCCCCTGTGGTTTTTCTTAAATAGCGAGAAAACGGCGGCGCCCAGCGCCGCCAAATTTTGGGTACCTTACCGGACATCAATTTGACACCTTCACTAAAATTTCAAGTCACAGGTCACCTCAGGTCAGGAGTTATTGAGGTCAAACTGAGGTCATGTTCGAGTAAAAATGAGCAAAAAACATGACATCTTGAAACGCTCACCAATTCTACAGTTCACAAGCAATTTTAAAGTTCTTTATGTGGTTGTGTAGAGAAAAAACGGCGCTACAAAACTGCTATCTCGGATTTTTGAAATTTTTGGATTTTGACCCCCAAAAATCAAAAAATTGATTTTTTTAGAAAAACTCAAAAAATTTCCAAAAATTTTTCGAATTTCGAAAACACCGGATATGTGATAGTCCCTGCGCTCTTCGATATACATACCAAATTTTAGATCGATATCTCTTTTTTTGGCCAAGTTATAGCGAAAAACTGTTAAAAATTGATGACGTCAAATTTTTGAACTCAATTTTTAGCAATTCTAGACCG